GTATGTAAATCACCTGGCGATCCTGTTAAAATGCAGCCTAAGGCTGAATCGGCCTGAGGGGAGGGGCTGAGGGGCTGCATTTCTGCCGAGTTCCTGTGCTGCTGGTGCCTGGACCGGCTTGAGGAGCCAGCCTTCAGATCGGCGATGTTCAACCGGTACGCCGCCAGAGCTTTTAAAACACCCAATACCTACTATTTAGTCTGGGGCACTCATCTCTTTGCCCTTAGAGTGTCAAATGAAAAAAAAAAAAAAAAGACAACAGCCAACACAACGATAGCCATCGGTGTGAATGAATCAAAATAATAATGAGTTTATGTGTGCCGTGAGATGAAAAAGTTTGAAAACTGCTGCCTTAGATGATGGATAGAACATGTGAAAAGCACATGTGTACGTGAGACAACACTTCGTGAAGTCCGAAATGACATACACATCACCTTATTTTGACTATAAATAGTTGGCGAATCAGTTTTCCTGTTCAAGAAAAAGTCCTAATAGAATAAATTATGTTCTCGATATTCTTAGACCCAGGGCCAGACTCATTCAGTAGATTGTCTCACCCTAGTCTAAACAGAAATAGGACATTACAAGGAAAGGAAGGAGATGGTTGGCTCCAGGAGCACTGGCAACAAGAAAAGGTTGCTTTCAGGGAAGAAGTTAAAAACGAGGGAAAGCCAGCACAAGAACACGGAGGTCAGAGCTGCGTGCCATGTGCACAACTAATTGCCCGAAGTAAAACTGTTCTTTTTCATGGGTGTTGGCATTTTCTGTAAGGAGTGAAGAAAATGGACAGGTACATTTATTGATTCCCAAAGCACTTCTCTGTTCCTATGTAAAGTATAGTCAAGAATTGCTGTTCAAATATTGGTTTGCAAATTGGCCACGGTGCCCAGAGGGCAAGGAGAGGTCACAGGAAGAGGCAGGGCACTCCAGGCGGGTGTGTGATTGGTAGGTGGCAGCTTTAACCAGCAAGGGAACTCACAGACAAGGCCTGTCCCGGGGGCCGCAAGATGAGATCTCCCCACTAGCCTGCCAGACTCCTAGAAGTTTGTGCAGAGGCCTTCACTGGGCTCAGCCACATGCACCATCCAGGTGGCCTCAACAGCACCTTGCTCTTGCAAGGCTGGGACCTTGCAAATGGCACCGGCGCTGGGAACATGGGTAGAACAAACACTCCAAGGATGGGGGAGGCTGTGAGGGACCTCCCGTTGCCTGAGTCCTGCTTGTGGGTCCACCGGCAGTCACATCCTGTGTACGAAACCCTCCCACCTCAAGAAAACACACACTCTCTCCCAGGTTCCAGTCCCACAAGATTTTGGCCCATCTTTTATGATCACGTGGTCAATGGACTATAACTATGGGAAGGAGACTTTCATCACAGATCAGAAAACGCATGGCAGCTCCCTCCTGCGGAATCAAAACCCTTCCAATCTTCAAGGTTTGGGACCAGGTGACACCGTCACAGACCCAGATTGCCAACACCTTATCCAGATTAAGCAGCAACTGGCTTGCCCTGCCCCCTCTGAATGGATCTCCATACAATGGTTCTGCAGCCACCATGATCACAGAATTCAAGACCGCTTTGGCGATGCCAGAAACCCCTCTGACTCGCCAGGAATTCATCGGACTCCCCTGCACCTGCATCTTACACTTTGTTTCCCTGCTTCCTTCCTGTTTGTCCTCTCTCACCTGCTCGTGGTGAGAGGAAGCATCATTCAGAACCCAGCACGCCAGGGTATAGTTCAACAAGCATGTATGAATGAAAACCTAGTGTGGTGTCAGCAGAGAGAAGAGAAAAAATGATAAATGAAACCGAAATCTGAGGGCCTGTCCACGTGCCCTGATGGCACCATTCCTTTGAAAGATCCCTGCAAGCAAAACGACTGGGACCAACTATTAATTTCATTCCTTAGGCGAGTCAGCCTCAAAGGATGAGGCCATTTAGATGCAGAACAGCCACCGAGAGGTCCGGCTCTGAAAACAGTCAGGATGCCGATGCCGAGGAACGTTTAGAAGCCGGAAGCGCACGCATGCCGGGCAGTATCACACACCTGCGGACTGCCCTGAGCACCGGCCCTGCTGTCACCTGGCTTAGCTGCCCCGAGTGGGTGGCCTTGTAAGGAGGCAGCTCTTCACTCTCCAGCTGTGTCACCTATGAGAACTTGACACTTCAAGGACGACGGAGGAGCAGCTCCCTTCCACGGGAGCACTTGCGTGGCGTGTCAGGAGTGGTTTTAAATGGTGGAGATAATTACTTAATTCACGCTGTAGCAACTGGCCAAGTAAACACGTAGCAGCCAGGAAGCTATTAGCATGATTTTAAGGCAATTATTCCATTAGTGTTTAATAGTCTCCAATTAGTCTTTTCTGACGATGGCAGTTTGAATGTCTTTTTTTTTTCCTCCCAAAATTCTCATAGTTAAGTAATGCAGAAAAGCACCATAGCCCATTTTTTAGACCTGGATTTATATGTATGGACCAATCAAATCTTCATTACAGAATCATGGAGGAATTGCGGGGGTATAGACTCGGAGAAAGAGTTTTATTTCTCAGAAGTATTGGGGGGTGACCATGGGAAGCTTTGCAGGGATCTGCTTGGAGTATAATGCCAATAGGGGCTGGGGAAGCAGTAGAAATTTCCACTGCATCCAATGCCATCATCCTTATGTCTCTAAGTCTACCAGAGTATCAGTCTCTGACCTCAGGCTTTCAGTGTGTTCCGTGGGGAGAAAAGGAAAATCGCCCTCTTCCTGCTAATGCACATCCCCGTGTCCCTTTCGGCTGGGTCAGCACTTGTTGCTGCTGAATCACCCAGGTGCGAATGCCGAAGCACTGTGCTCCAGATGTCCTGGGAGCGCTTCCCCAAGGCCCACGTTAGGGGTCAGATCCCTGAACCGATACTAGGTCATTTGCTTTCATGGAGCTGCAATTCTCACGTCTGTGAAATGGAGTTAACAGTCCGGGCAACGCCTGCTCCGTGAGGCTCGGGGAAGGACTGTGTGGTCTGTGGGTATGCACCCTGCGGCGCTGGACAGTGAGATATGACAGAAATGCAAGAGGTCCAGACAGGGTGTCATGGCATCTCTCAGAACTAGCCACGTGAATTTAAGTTTTTAACCTTCCTGCGTCTCTGGAGAGTCACAAAGCAGAAGCCTAGTGTCAGAGTCGCTCCCTCTCCCACCTTCCGTGTGTACGGAAATGCCCAGGGGAGGCCCTGGGAAGGCAACTTGGGAAACCAAAGGAGAAAAGAGGGTAGGAACGCCCGTGGAAGGGAGAGTGGCATTTTGCCAACTAAGGTGTGTACTTTCTACCGTCTCCTTCAAAAGAGCAATCCCCAGGCTCACCCAGGTAGCAGGTACCGTAGAATGGGGAAGCTGGCTTGTGCTTTTCCTTGGAGACACCTGGGCTCTTGGGAAGCTACGTCTTGAGGCAGAGCAAGAAGAAAACAAACGCTTCCCTTCCCAGTTGGCGCTCCGAGTGTGGCCTGTGCCTGTTAGAGCATCCAGATCCACTTGCCTAACAGCCATTGATTTACATTACTGATCGATTCCAGCACTGCTGGTTAGAGCCCCCCAAGGGGGGGCGGGTTCTAATCTTTATTTTCATTGTTGACACTTTTACAGATGTCCCCATTTCCCCCCACGTGGCCCACATCCATCCAGACTCCAGCTTCCCTCTACTCATGACCACACTGTTCTAAGAGAACCTTTCTTTTGCTTTTTAAAAAAAGTATTGCTGCAAACCGCCACCCCTCCGCCAAAGCCCGTGGCTGGAAGAGGGTGCTAGATGGGGCAAATCAAGAGGAGGCAGAACCGAACGAAGGCTGACCTGAACGTGATAACCAGGCTCAGACAGGGGAAGGGGTGGGGTGACTACCTGTCCCTCAGTGATTTTCCTGCAGCCAGGTCCTAGAAGGATGAGGCGTCCACTCCCTCAGCCCAAGTGAAAAGTGAAATTGGGGCGGAAGTATGGGTACGTCCCCAGCTGCCACCATGGTACACTGTCCTGAAATGTCCTCCCCCCTGCACACCTGAGCTAGGTAGGGGCTGCTGCGCGCGCACGTCCCAGAGACCTGCCCCGTCCTCTGGTCCAAGTCGCGCGCGCCATGCTGGAGCCTGCGGATGCCTCCTGCCTCTCCCTGGCTTTGCCAGGCTTGCTTTCTCCCGGGCGGTCTGGACACGGCGCAATCCCCTTCTCCCCGGGCGTGCCTGTTAATAATACCACCCTCCGACACTGCTCACGCAGGTTCCGCTGCCTGGCTCTGCCCGGAGCATCAAACCCAGAGTCCGCAAGGGCTCGCTTTCCTGAGCCGAGGGCTCGGGTGCTCGTTGCCTCCAGCGCCGGGACAGCGATCCAGAGGGTGGCCACCCGGCCAGGCCCTCCGGGTCCACACAGACTACAACACGGCGCCCTCCGCCCCTCGCCCCCAGCAGTCCCTAGGTCAAGGGCAGCGATCACACCGCTGCCGGTTCCTCAACTTTCGTCACTCTTGGGGAAGCGGTTTGTCTCTTTAAAGGAGACTGGGGACAAACATAAATGACTCAGGTAGGTTGTACCGAGAAATCGACCAGATCCTCTGGATTCCGTGATAGGGCTGGAATCGGAGGTCCACGCGCTGGCGCTGAGCCCTTAGGACAGCGCGCGCGCGGTCACCCCACAGACCCAGATGTCCCCCCGCCCCAAATCTGCAGAGAAAACTGAGACACCAGGCGCCCACGTAGAGCCAAGGCTTCCCCCTGCCCCGACCCTCCGACACAGCCTTCTTCCAAAGCCCAGCGGAAAAGCAGTCACCTTGACTCTCCGCGCCACAGTCCCTAGAGGTTTGGAAAAGGCCAGGAGGCCAGAGGCTCCTAGGGCGCGCTCTCTCGGCCCGAGATCCACCTGGGAGAGGGGGGTGAGTTTCCCTCCCAAGGGCACCGTGGCAACTTAGCACCCAGTGGCAGATAAAGCAGGGCGGGGCAGGTGGAGCGGGCACCGAGGGAGCGCCTCTGCTGCGCGCCTACCTGGGATGGCCAGATTGGTGAGGGGGATGCTGTGGATGCTCTCAGGCAGAGTTGCCATCCAGTCGGCGAATTTGAGCTCGATCTTCCCCTGAGACGAGGCCATGGTGCCGGTGGCGTGCTGCGGGTCCCCGCACTCCTCGGGCAGGCTGGCAGGCTGCTGCCGCTAATCCAATGTTTGCTCCAGCCCCGCTAGAGTTTACACTCCGCTCTGCGCCACACCCACAGGATGGCGCAGGCACACGCGGATTTCAATAATTATTCCAAACACCCCATGCTCCCCAGTGCCTCTGCCAGACTCCTCCGGAGCTCTGGTGCCTGACGTCCGCGGTCGGCGTTCTCCTCTGCCCCCTCCCTCCCTGACTCCCTCCGCCCGTCCTTCCCTCCTATGCGTCTCTGCCTTTTCTCGCCATTCTGCAGCTCTTCTTGGCTTCTTCTTTTTTTTTTTTTTTTTTTAACTTGGTTCAAGCAACTGCTTTGCCTGTGGTCTTCCTCCGCCCTTTGATGTGACTACCTGGCCCTGCCGTGTACAAGGCAGTCTTGTGGTGGAACCTGAAATCTTAGTAGACCTTGGGATGCTGTCACCTCAGGAAGGGGAGAGGCACGCGCTGGCTTCAGGACTTCGCGTTCTGGCCAAAGAGCTTTCCTGTTTGTAAGCGACAACAGGTTATGTTTTTCGCAGCGGCACCCCCAGGCCTGCCAATAACCAAATGATGGCTTGACGTCAACCTCTTGCCTAATCTGGGGAGCAGGTGACTCGTGTGCCTAAGGTCTAGGTGCTTCTTAATCCCTGGCGCTCCGTTCCAGACATGTCCAGGGAGAGAAGCCATTCACTCCTTTGCTTCTCCCGTCAGGAGGAGCCTCTGTGGTTTCCGTGGGGAAAGCTACCTGTGTCCCTGCTCGGTCACCACCACGGCTGTCGGGTCAAGCCCGAAGCCTGACGGTGGAAGAAAAGGGCCACGTTTCTCCCTGACATGCTGTCATTCTTGCCAGTAGCATTTGGTGGAACTTATTTGGCACCACTCAAAATGATCTGAGTGACTGTCAAAATTTTCACTCCTTGGCAGACTAGGGAGATGTGCCTCTCTCAAGAGAAATCACTCATTGAGCCTCCAAAGAACTGTCTTGGCCCACCTGCTCTCAGATGGGAAAGAGGAGAGAAATCATCAGGTCTTACAAATGTGATGAGAAGATGAAAACAGAGATAGGAGAGAAAGCTGTGAAACACGGGAATGATTATTTCACTTCAGTAAGCCATATAGCATTAAAAAAAAAAAAACCACAAACAACTAGCCCTGGCTCAGTGGATTGAGTGCCAGCCTGCAAACCAGAGGGTCACCAGTTCAACTCCCAGTCAGGGCACATGCCTGGGCTGTGGGCCAGGTCCCCAGTAGGGAGCGCACAAGAGCAACCATACCTCCACAGCTCAGTGTTTCTCTCCCTCTTTCTCCCTCCCTTCTCCTTTGCCTAAAAATAACTAAAATCTAAAACAACAACAACTAAAGGTTGCCTATAATACAAGGATGTAGAACCCAGGGAATATTTCAGAGGGGGAGCACTTTGGAAAACACGGAGAGAGGAGAGATAATGCCTTCTCTTTATTTGCCGTTGTTCCATGGAATCAGTTTATAGCTTCAGGAGGACATGGTGCGATTATTGTTAAGAATCAAAAGGAGATGTACTGGGATTTTTTTCCAAGGTAAGCCTTAATATTCCTTTTTTAAAATTCTTTGTTTTTATTTTAATTGTTGTTCAAGTGCAGTTTTCTGCCTTTTACTCCCATCCCAGCCCACCCCCCAACCCTCCCCACCTCCTTCCTGTTTCCTCCCTGCCTTGTTACTGTCCACATGTCCTTTATAGTTGTCCCTGCAAGCCCTTCCCCTTGTCCCCTGAAATCCCCTCCCCTCTCCCCTCTGGTCACTGTCAGCCTGTCCTCTATTTCAGTGTCTTTGGTTATATTTTGCTTGTTTCTTTGTTTTGTTGTTTGGGTTCCTGTTAAAGGTGAGATCATATGGTATTTGTCCCTCACTGCCTGGCTTATTTCACTTAGCATAATGCTCTCCAGCTCCATCCATGCTGTGGCAAAGGGTAGGATCTCCTTCTTCCTTTCTGCTGCATAGAATTCCATTGTGTCAATGTACCACAGTTTTTTGATCCATTTATTTACTGATGGGCACCTAGGTTGCTTCCAGCACTTGGCTATTGTAAATTGTGCTGCTATAAACATTGGGATGCACAGGTTCTTTTGGATTGGTGTTTCAGGGTTCTTAGGATATAATCCTAGCAGTGGAATTGCTGGGTCAAAAGGCAGATCCATTTTTAGTTTTCTGAGGAAGTTCCATACTGTTTTCCGTAGTTGTTGTACCAGTCTGCAGTCCCACCAACAGTGCACGAGGGACCCCTTTTCTCCACAACCTCTCCCACACTTGTTGTTTGTTGCTTTGTTTATGATGGCCATTCTGACTGGTGTGAAGTGGTATCTCATCGTGGTTTTAATTTGTATCTCTCTAATATGAATATTCTTGCTAACACAGTAGAATCACATGCCCTTTTGATGAGAGCAAGAATTTAGCTCGCTGTGGGGTTCTCGGTCATGAGACCCACAAACCCACCTCCCTGGCGAATGCTGGTGCTCTGTGGGCATCGCAGAGGGCAGCGGGGAGAGCGCCGACCTGGGAGGCAAATGCTCTGCCTCTCGGGAGTGTGGGCAGGGCCTCTCGTCTCTGCCAGCCCTCGTTGTTCCCATTATCAGATGGTGATAGTAACTCAGACACTCCCAGGGAAGAGTCCAGCAAAGAATGTGTGTGAAAGAGTCCAGCCCAGTTGTCTCTGATTATCAGCAAAGCGTCATACAAAATGGGAGACTCACGTTTCATAAGATGACACGTGTGTATTTTTCCTCTTTGCCTTTTCTATCCTTATAAAACACCTGTTTTTAGGAAGCTGAGAAAATTACTGAATCTTGGGAGTGTTTTTAATAAGATACACTTTAAAAACACGCCTCAGTCGAGTGTGTTGAACTTCTGAGTTTCTAAAAGTTTACAAAGCATGTTTAAAAAATGAAAGCACATTAACTATTGAGGAAAGTTGCCCCTATAAAGGGTCATACACTGTATCTTTTGATAAAGCAAACAAATAATCCCTTCCCTGTTTTATCTTCTTTGAACGTCAGAATCTTTAATGTACTGGGTTTGCATGAAACCTTCAATTCCTCTCATGCAATCACTAGAAAAGAACAAGAAGTTGATAGCTCTGAATTTCTCTCTAGACTTTATAATCAATATTTGAGGCAATTTTATGACCCAGCTTCCCAATATTATCAGTTCTGCCACCACTTACTAAATGATATTAGGAAAACCATGTAATTTCTCTGGACTTTAGTTTACCCACTGCATTAATCAGGGTTTTTTGGAGGAACAGAACCAGTTTTACATATACAGGGGAGGGCAAAATTAGGTTTACAGTTGTAATACAAATAAATAATACAATAATTAATAATACAAGAGTAAACTGTGTTTTGAATGCTCACCACTGTAAGCCTACTTCTGCCAACTCTTATACATATGTAATAGGAAAGATTTTAAGAAATTGATTTGTGGGATGGTGAGCACTGGCAAATCTGAAAGGCAGGCCAGCAGGCCGGTAATGCAGGGAGGATTTCTATGTTGCAGTCTCGAAGCAGAATTACTCTCCTTCAGGAAACCTCATTCTTTGCCCTTACGGCCTTCAACTGATTGGATGAGGCCCACCCACTTCACAGAAAGTGATGGGCTTTCCTCAAAGTCCAGGGATTGTGTATGCTAATCATATCCACGAACACCTTCACGGCAACATCTAGACTAGTGTTGGACCAAACTACTGGGCATCGGAGCCCAGCCACGTTGTCACATAAACCATCACACCCACTGGCACGCTGATCTAGCATTGGTTATTGATCTCCGGAGCTCCTTGTAACTCCGTCATTCTGTAGTTCCGTTTTCTTTATGATTCTTTCTCTTACACGTAGCTGGTGGAAATAGCAGGAGAAGAATGTAAATATTTACCTTTGCTTTTTTACTGTATCCGAACAACTCAAGGTAGAGATCAACATTTTTCTCACTGCAAAACACTAATGATTTTTAATTGTGGTGCCAATAGTAGCCCATTGGTTTTTAACAGACTCTGTTAAGCATAAATGGAAAGAAAAAATTGACTTATTGCAGTGGTGTCATGCTGTTATTGACAGTTATGTAATCCTCAGCTGTCCATCAAAATCACACTATGCAGTTTGTAAACGTTGCTGCTTATTCGGAATATTTTCTTAGTTTATATATTCTTTCACTCTAGAAAAAGGCCCTTTGTTACGTATTTCCTTTCCTTAGTTCATAATATTTCTTAACTGTTGGAGTTATATATATTTTTTCAATTAAATTGAGGTTGACCTATGTTCTGAAAAACAAGATTTCTTATAGGTCAGCAAACATTAGAACACATTTCAGCCGAATACTATTTTGAAAGAGAAATTCTGTTTAAAACAATCCATGCAAATCATTGAAAAACACAGAAACATAGATTCACAAACTATGTTCACAAACATAGATTCATAGATACATACAAAAGGGCAATAAAGAACCTTTGGAAAATTAACTATTAATATAAGTTAATGAAAGAGTTATAATAGCTATCTATTTTATCATTTTCTACAACCTGTGCCTAGGTATTTTATTCAAAGAAATTTATTTTATTTAATTACAAAAATGCTTTTCGTACTTAAATTCAGGATTTAAAGAGCACCATAATCCCCACTTCCTCCGCCGTTCTCACCCTTCAGCGTTTTCAGTCTCAGCTCCCTCCCTTCCCTGCACCCGCCCTCCTGTGCCCGCCCCAAACCGGTGAGTGAACACTCGCTACACATCCTCTAGCGGCTGGAATCACCCGCGATGGGATCTGAAGGCTTGGATTAAAAATCCATGTTTTCTCAATTAATTTCAGTGTGTTTCTTGGCTGCCTTAACTGAAGTGTGACGAATAATGATGTCTTCCTGTGCACGGGAAAATGGAAGGTGCTCGGAAGCTCCAATGAAGAACTGGAAGTTCATTGAACAGAACGGCAGCGCCGTAAACTATAGTTCGCCGCCAAGCTCCTGGCAACCGCCGCGCCTTTTCCCCGTGCGGCCAACTCTGCAAGGAGCGCAGGCTGATGCGTCCGTCCACCGAAACGCTTTCTGCTCTAACTCCTCATCTTTGCAATTTTTCCTTTCTATCCATTGGTAGGGGTGTTTTTTCTTTTTCTGTAAGATAGATACTGCAG